GTATATAATTTATTTATTTATTTATCATTGACTGTGATAAAATTAAATTATACTTAAATAAACAAGATTGTTTGAGAAGTACTATTAAATATTATTTTTATGATGTAAATCAAGGCAAAAGTTCTTGTCAAATTGTAAAAATTTGAAAAAAAATTCCTTTTTTCTTAGACCGAAATACTTCTATTTCATTTATGACTAATATTACAGTACAACGAATTTTAAAATTTACATTTTTTAAATTTTAAATGAAACTTTTAATACTTGACTATTTATTGGAAAATCAAAGCCAAAAATTTGATTAATCAACCAATTATAATTACATAACTTTAATTTGTTGGCCATTATAAAAATGATAAAATAGTTAATTGTAGAAGTAAAATTGGTTTAAAGAAATAATATCTTAAATTAAAGCTAATGTATTTGTATGAAAATTCTCGATTTTATATTTTACATTTTTAACTTTATAATGCTATAACTTATTGAAAAGTGTATTGATCAATATAATTTTTTTATGGGAAATACTATTTTTTAATAATCCCTTTTCATTCGACATACTTTATCTTAATCAGGATATAAATAAGGAAATAGGAGATCATGTAGCTTTTGGAATAATCCACCAATTTTTTAAAACTAAACATTATCTACAGATTTTCATTGAAGCGATTTTTATGATAGTGATTTTAATCACTGTCAGATTCATTATACTTGTGTCATGTAATCACTGTGTCACAATTCCCTGTGCTGGGTTTTTTAAATAAGTTTAGAAAGAAAACTTTTTTTCTAATTTATTTCATTATTTATGAAACTAATACTATTTAAATGCTACAATGTTCAACTTAATAACCTAATTAATTTATACTTAAGTCAATATAAACATTTGATTAGGTTTAATGTCTTTAAAGTAACAAAATATAAGAAATAAGTTGTTATGTTATTTTTATGTTATCAATATATTGTTATTACAAGTAAAACAATCAATACATTTTTAGAAAGAATATATAATTTATCGTCGTAATATAAGATTTTTTTGTGTGTTAACCTTTAATATACGTTTTTTATGGTTTTATAGACTATACTTCGAAAATTTAAGGGCAAATCCTCAAAATGTTATAATCCTCGTCTAATATTTTTCAAGATGACCTCAAATTTTCAGAATATTATTATTTTAACTAAGGAAAAAAATGGTGTGTCCAAAAAAAAAATTCGAAATTCGTATAATTAGGAATACTCTGTTTATACCACGGGCGAGAAATTATATCACGCTTACCCAGTAATTAATAAGAAAGGATTTTAGGACATTTATATTTGTTTTGAAAGAAGACTGTGGTCGCTAGTTCACACAAAATTGCTTATATTTCCATAAAAATAACAATAATTTAAAATGTATTAAGTATTTATAATTTACAATAGCACCTTGTGCATTTTAGTATTAAGAGTTGACAAATATAATAATAAATATAAATCTGTATTATTAACTATGACTTTGATTATATACACATAGATATAACTAAAAAAGAGATTCAATATAAATAATAGTGTTGGATATATAATTAATATACACTAAGTTTATTTGTATGATTTATGAATTAAAATTGGCTATTGTCACCCGTGTGACTTACACAATTTTCCAAATCTAACCGTATGGAATATAACAACAAATAAACCATAAAATTGTTACTTTAGATAATCCGACAACGTCATCCGTGTGACTTAAATAATTTCGGCTAATATTACACCAAAATGCACTAATCATATAATACAATATTATTTATGCTAAAGAAGCTAACTACATAAACAAACATAAATAACATTTACATTAGAAAAAAAACGTGAATATAATTTTTACTAAATCGTATAAGCAACAAAACATTTTCCTAATTTTTGTATTAATCTAATTACATACACATGTCGACCGGCAATGATAACCGGCTGACGCCGCCTAGCGACCGGTAGAGGAAGGGAAGATGAGTGGACAGAACTGAATAAGCGCGCTATCTATTATGTATAAGCAGCGCGAACATACTTTAATAAACATTTTATACTTAATATAAATAATTTATATTTATCATTTGCAAATTATTATAATAAATGTTACATGAGATCAATTTCTTATTAAAAGTACTATTTAAGTACTACTGCGATCACAAAAAAAATAAATTAAATTAAAAAAATAAAAATAAAAATTCATAGGAAAATGGATATTAGATATTAGTACTCAATTTCAAATGTTTAATGACAAGAAATTAATTAGCTTCGACTAAATATAATAATTGATCTTTTTACGTATCCTTTTAATCCTCGTAATTATTTTAACAGACAAAATAATCATACATGTTAATAAAACAATTACTTTTTGAGTTACGCATTGATGCTAAAAAAATGCTTGTATAAGAATAGTAAATTTAAAACTACAATTTTATAAAGCCATAAGACATTTAACTATAATATTATTGTTATAAAATTATACATAGGTAGTGGACTTTGGATGTATTAGTAGTTTGATGAATGAAACTAAACATATTAAATTGATAATGATTATCAATTTGACATATGATATAATAGTACATTAAAGATCTATTCTTTTATATATTATTGTTCAAATAATATTATTGTAGTGTACACAAAATTTTTTATTAGATGTTTTTAGTTTTAAAAATTAACTCTCAAGAACATGACTTAACACTTGATTAAATATATTAACATTATTAATGAAAACATAATTAATACAAAGTAACAATAAGTCTGCATCAGAACTCAAAATACATTTAGGAGGTAAAAATTTAGTTTGAAAAATCAATTCTTTTAGTGATTGAAAGAAGAATTAATTGAATTAAAAAGAATAATTATTATTAATTATTACTAAATTTAAAATCTTCTTTCATTTAATTTATATTTAATACTTATAAGTAAAATATTGCTTTAGAATATGACATTACAGATATTTACAAATTTAAACATAGTACCGAATGTAAGTGTTTTTATTGATAACAATTTTTGTTATTAGTTTTGTAAAAATCGATTTGTTTATTAATCAAACAAATTAAAACCTTCATAGGTAGATCATTTTATGGTTATTCATTTGATGAATTACTATACCATTGTTCTGATATTGAGATACGTTCAAGAACTAATTTTGATAATGTATTGCCACTCAATCCCAAATTTTTAAATTGGTTTAAATTAATTGAATAAATTTAATGAATTATATTTTTTTGCTTCGCAAAACATATATGAATTTATTTTAAATAGATGGAACTGTTAATATTTTTAGAGGTTCATTGAACGAAAAGTTAACCGAGATCCTACATTCCATTTTAAAATAAGCTGGACACCTATTGAAGAAATTAAAGAATGTATCTCATTAACATACAGATTGGAATTTTCTAATTTGGGACAGCCGACTCTTAAAATTTTTCTTCATGACAATGATGCATCATTAATTCTTATATCTCATATATTTCAAAAGGCGGTTAGATAACATATTGCACTTAATCTCACAAATTTTATAATTATATCAAAATATATGTTTTTATGTTGAATATACAGGGTGATTTATTTATCATAACCCACTCAATTACTTACAGAATAATAATAATTTCAACATTTTTTTTTTTTATTTATTATCTTTAGTTACATATTATTCTTGAATTATTAACTATGTAATAATTTTTAAGTTTATCCCTTATGCCTGGTAAGGATGTCAACTTTATTTTTGTAAATAGGAACACATATTTTGAATTAAATAAAATGTTTGAGTTTTAATTTAATAGTAAATAGCATTTTAATTTTTAGTGTAACTTTATTTGTTTATTAGATATAAATAATTAAAGTTTCAAATTTTACATGTGTAATACACAATGGATTACAAATACAGGTAGCTAATTGATTTTTTATGACATTGCTATCACAGTCACAGATTGTTTATTATCAATTATGAATATCAATAGATATACTTTCTGTATTGTCAGTTGGTGTATTTATAAACTCACAACAATGTGCCTTACTACATTTGATAATAACAATGCTGTGTATATGCAAATATGGATGTCATAAAAACCAACTAATTAGATAAAATTTTAACTCATAAGGAATACTTAATATATGTGGTGTCACCAAGACAATGAGATTGCAAAATAACATAGTTCAACAATTTTTTTGTTTATGTAAAAAAATTAGTTTCATACCTAAATTTTTATCTTAGTAAGATTAGAAACAATTAACAAAAAAAAGTTATTATTTTGTCAACAACTCGTTGGAAATGTATTTTTTATCAATTTACTAAAAATTAAAATACAACAGTTGTATAAATTATATGTGAAAACATTTATTACATGTAATTATTAAAACGATGAAAAGAGAATAGACTTAGCGCTGATTAATAGTACATACAAACTTCAAAATGCTATATAAACGTAACTACTGAATTAAAATAAGAGTTTTTGGTATTAAAATTTTTCTTTAAAACTTGTTAATTCTTTAAACAAAGACCAGCAAATGATGGTTAAAAACAATAAGAATAACAAATATATAATAATAATAAGAATAACAAAAGGATGAAAAGAGAATAGACTTAGCGCTGATTTATAGTACATGACTAATTTCGTTTATACATTTGGCCGTAACTTTTAATATAAAGATTTTTGTTTTGAAGCTCTATATGATAAATTATACTAATTATAATTTTATAATATAACTAACGATAGAAAATTTAAAACAATACTTGTAAAATGTATTAAATCAGCATCAGTAAGAAAAACTTAAAAAAAAAATAAATGGACATGGAACATTTAAAAGTTGTAAATTAGATAAAATATTAACTCATAATCAATTAAAAATTTAGTAAAAATCATTATTTTTAAGGAATACTTAATATATGGGGTGTTACCAAGACAATAAGAATGAAAATTAACATGGTTAAAAAACTTTTTAATTTATGTAAAAAAATTAGTATCATACCTAAATTTTTATCTCACTAAGATTTGAAATAATTAACAAAATAGTTATTTTTTATCACAAACTCGTTGGAAATGTATTTTTTATCAATTTACTAAAAATTAAAATACAACAGTTGTATAAATTATATGTGAAAACATTTATTACATGTAATTATATCATTTACAAATCAATATTTCCATATATAAATATAAAGTATTTTTTAAGCATTCTCTGGTATTGTAAATTCTAATTTAGCATTAAAAATCATTTTATTAAATTCATCCATTGCGTCTTCTATTTTTAAATTAACTACTTGAAACGACATTATATTGTTTTTGACTTCTGGAGAAAGTACAGATAAATCAGAAGTTAAATATTTACTAGATAATTCGCTAAATGTTTTGTTTTGTCCATCAATATTATCAGGATACAGCTGGTTAATAGCACAATTAGCTATAGTATTTAACCCTGTATAAAATTGCATTTTATTGTTTGCTAATGATTTTGCGGTTGTATTAATCCATTTAAGCATTGGTATTTCAATATCAAAATTATTAAAAAACGAATCAATTTTCTGTATGATTTGAATCACTTTCTTTATTACTTCGTTGGCTCTAAGTTTGTATATTAAAAATCCACCAAAGTATGTAATTATAAATAAATACTTACACGACCTTTGTATTATTGCTGTTCTGTAATTTTTATTATAATAATCTTGTTTTTGATATTTGATTATATTACCCAATGTATTACAATTATTTCCATTTCCAATAGGTTCATTTTTCATAGAATTCCAGTTTGGATACGAATTACTTTCAAAGGATAAGTTCATTGATAGAACAAAATGATTACCTATTACCATAAGAATAATAAAGCTGAATATCAATTTCATTTTTTCATGCATAAACAATAACTGAAGTTTTGAAAATATAGTACAGCGAGTGTAAAAATTCTGGGACTTATAGAACTTGATGAATTACTTTAGTGATACAATCATGTAAAAAGCAACTAGTACATAAGTTTATATACAAATAGTTTATGTAATTAATATAATTTATTTGATGGATGTTCAAATATAGAAAAATTTTAAATATATATTTTTAGAATAAAAAAAAAAGTCTCAATTTTAATCAGTAAATACTAAAATATTTAATAATTTAAAATATCTATCGGAATTTTTAAAAAAAATGTTTCTATATAATCGATTTTTTTTAAAAATAAGTGTTATACAATTATTCAAAAATAGATAATATTTTGTACCTGACAACTTAATTTTTAATATCAGTTAAATATTTTAAGTGAAAGAAGTTTTTTCTATGGCTTCGAAAACGTAAAACCTTAAAACTTACTACTAACCTATCATACTTTTATAAAATAAAACATTGAAAAATTAATTAATGCTAGAAAAATTACTCAACGATGTCCGATTAAAAAAAAAAAAAATTATTGAAAGATCTTGACTACGTCATTCTAAGGAAATTATTTACAGACGAGGAAAATTTTTTTAGCACACAGTCAGCGTTTAAAATTTTTATCAAAAACTCTAATTTCCGCCAACGTTTATTGATTTAAAATTGAAATTTTTTCTACAAAGATAGATTCTAAACCTGTTGATTACCATGTTATGACCTTTTTTTAAGTCCACGTGCATAGTTTCTTAGTATGATATAATTTTACTTTGGGAATATTAATTTTGTTTAAATTTTATTTTAGTTTTCATTAAAAACACGATAGTTAAAGATTGTTTTTAATGATTTTTAAAAACAATTTGCTGTGAAACTTAAAATTAACTTTGCTATCTGCTATTATAATTATGGATATCAATAGATATACTTTCTGTATTGTCTTGTGCCTTACTACCTTTGATAATAACAATGCTGTGTACATACAAGTATGGCTGTCATGAAAAACCAATTAGCTAACTAATTATAATCCCTTAAGTATTATACATGTAAAGTTTAAAACTTTAAATATTTATATCTAATTAACAATTAAAGTGTTTAAAAGCTTAATAAGTTCGAAAGATTTTTGGGAAAGTTTTGAATCAATACGTATAAATAAGAACAAACGAGTATCTAGTGTTAGATGAAAATTTAAAATATGACCTTACCGTTGTGATTGTGCAAGTAATGCACATGTAATCATGTATTGCACAAATTACACAAATCTAGCGATTTTAAATGCGTTTATTATAGTTAAATAGGGCTAGCTTAAAAAATATTTATTTTTTATTATAAATAGTTTTTAATTATTTTGTACTATCCTGACAGATATTATCAATACATTAATATTTTTATCTTAATGCCAATGCAACACGTCAATAATAGTGTAAAAAAAGTTTTTTGTTGTTTTATACAAGTTTATAATTTCGGTCTTGCGTCTTTTCTCAAATAATTGATTCATATCATGATACCTTACATTATTTATTTTTATGTTTATATTTATTATTTATTTAATAGGAATCAAATTATTAATTCTATTTATAAGTTTACCGTAAAATTAATTCAAAAATATTAATTAAACACTTAATAATTTATTCTTATTATTTATGTTTTTTTATATATTTATACATACTTCAATACAAAGAATTAATATATCCATTATTTATGTTATTTATCATGACTTTGTGACTATTACTTTACGATGTGAAAGTAAATGTTTGAAACAAAACATTTATAATATAATATAATTTTATATTAAAATAATTTATTCAATATAAAAAGAATAGCTCAATGTGCAGATTCTAACAGTTAATTTTTTTTTATTATAAAATTTAATTGTTCTTTATTTTCAACATATATTTTATAATAAAAATGATACTTTTTAAAATTCTTAAATCCTTTTGTATAAAATAATTGGTAAATATTATATTATAGATATTTTTAAACTATTTAAATTAAACTACATTATTTAATTTAAATTACAAATAGTGAAAATAAACAAAATGGTATAGATATTTTGATCAGAGTTTATCAAGGTTTACAAAATCTCGATTGTTTGTAACGTAAATTTATTTTTAGTTGAACTTAGAATGAATTTTTTTTTTGTAAAATAGTACTGTTACCAGTAAATAATGTAATAAGTGTTTACTTCTGTACTTTGCATAATATGAATTAACATTTGATACCATAGAAAAATTGTAAAAAAAATCAAAATTTAACAAACTTCAAAATGCTATATAAACGTAACTACTGAATTAAAATAAGAGTTTTTGGTATTAAAATTTTTCTTTAAAACTTATTAATTCTTTAAACAAAGACCAGCAAATGATGGTTAAAAACAATAAGAATAACAAATATATAATAATAATAAGAATAACAAAAGGATGAAAAGAGAATAGACTTAGCGCTGATTTATAGTACATGACTAATTTCGTTTATACATTTGGCCGTAACTTTTAATATAAAGATTTTTGTTTTGAAGCTCTATATGATAAATTATACTAATTATAATTTTATAATATAACTAACGATAGAAAATTTAAAACAATACTTGTAAAATGTATTAAATCAGCATCAGTAAGAAAAACTTAAAAAAAAAATAAATGGACATGGAACATTTAAAAGTTGTAAATTAGATAAAATATTAACTCATAATCAATTAAAAATTTAGTAAAAATCATTATTTTTAAGGAATACTTAATATATGGGGTGTTACCAAGACAATAAGAATGAAAATTAACATGGTTAAAAAACTTTTTAATTTATGTAAAAAAATTAGTATCATACCTAAATTTTTATCTCACTAAGATTTGAAATAATTAACAAAATAGTTATTTTTTATCACAAACTCGTTGGAAATGTATTTTTTATCAATTTACTAAAAATTAAAATACAACAGTTGTATAAATTATATGTGAAAACATTTATTACATGTAATTATATCATTTACAAATCAATATTTCCATATATAAATATAAAGTATTTTTTAAGCATTCTCTGGTATTGTAAATTCTAATTTAGCATTAAAAATCATTTTATTAAATTCATCCATTGCGTCTTCTATTTTTAAATTAACTACTTGAAACGACATTATATTGTTTTTGACTTCTGGAGAAAGTACAGATAAATCAGAAGTTAAATATTTACTAGATAATTCGCTAAATGTTTTGTTTTGTCCATCAATATTATCAGGATACAGCTGGTTAATAGCACAATTAGCTATAGTATTTAACCCTGTATAAAATTGCATTTTATTGTTTGCTAATGATTTTGCGGTTGTATTAATCCATTTAAGCATTGGTATTTCAATATCAAAATTATTAAAAAACGAATCAATTTTCTGTATGATTTGAATCACTTTCTTTATTACTTCGTTGGCTCTAAGTTTGTATATTAAAAATCCACCAAAGTATGTAATTATAAATAAATACTTACACGACCTTTGTATTATTGCTGTTCTGTAATTTTTATTATAATAATCTTGTTTTTGATATTTGATTATATTACCCAATGTATTACAATTATTTCCATTTCCAATAGGTTCATTTTTCATAGAATTCCAGTTTGGATACGGATTACTTCTAAATATTAACTTCATTGATAGAACAAAATGATTACCTACTACCATAAGAATAATAAAGCTGAATATCAATTTCATTTTTTCATGCATAAACAATAACTGAAGTTTTGAAAATATAGTACAGCGAGTGTAAAAATTCTGGGACTTATAGAACTTGATGAATTACTTTAGTGATACAATCATGTAAAAAGCAACTAGTACATAAGTTTATATACAAATAGTTTATGTAATTAATATAATTTATTTGATGGATGTTCAAATATAGAAAAATTTTAAATATATATTTTTAGAATAAAAAAAGAAGTCTCAATTTTAATGAGTAAATACTAAAATATTTAATAATTTAAAATATCTATCGGAATTTCAAAAAAATGTTTTATATAATCGATTTGTTTTAAAAATAAGTATTAGTTAATTATTCAAAAATACATAATATTTTGTACCTGACAACTTAATTTTTAATATCAGTTAAAAATTTTAAGTGAAAGAAGTTTTTTCCATGGCTTCAAAAACTTTATGTTCTTTATTTTCAACATATATTTGTTCAAAATATTTTAGAAGATGAAGATTTTAACAAACATAAAATTAACATATATAATATAAAGAGTTATAAGAGTTATCAATGTGTCTCAAGGTTAATCAAAATTCTCATTGCTAATTATACCATTAGCACTATTCATATTCGTTAAAAATGTATATTTAGATACTATATCTAGACTCTCATAAATTTTAAGTCTCTCTTAGTCAATTTACTAATTAAAAAAAAATGTTATCGGTTATTATAATAAAATCAACTAAATAGGACAGAAAGATAAACAATTTGACTTTAAAGTGGTGGGGTAGAAGAGGTCTGTATCATAAACTACTTATTATAAATATAGCAAAATATATCCTCTTATCTATAATTATAACATAATAAGTCGAGGAACAGAGGTCACAAGCATAAATATTGAATAATAAATAAATGTTAAGCATGTTAAAATAAATACACATTCTCACGGAGGCGTTTAATGATAGTGATGATAATCACTGTTAGATTTCAATCTATACTGATGATCACTATGTCAGACTTTTTTATTCTAAGTCCCGACTGTATTGGGTTTTTGTATTTTGAAATAGTAAGAATTTCATGATTCCTTTAAACTACATTAATTCCAAATAGCTGAAAATGAGTGACATCACTTCAGGTATGAATTTTTTAGGAAATGCTTATCTATAAAAACTTATCTATAAAATGGCTATTTTAAAATCTTAAAAATAATTAAAAAAAAAAAATTGATTTTTAAAATATTTTTTTAATTGCGAAAAATAACATAAAATATATTTTAAATGTAGTTCTATATTGTAAAAATTGATTAAAAAAAAAAAGCATAAAATGTTATGTAGATCATAAGTTATATGAATTGTCAGTTAGATTCGTTCCACCTGTATATATATATTTAAACGTAAGAAAAATAGTTAATTGCAATGTTTTATATACAGATATTTCATTAGAAAGAGTCTCTACGACTAATATCGTCGAGTTATCATTATATTACACTAAGTGTTAGTATTGATTCTCTAAACATCATTGGTCATTATAAATAAAAATCTATTTATTACCAAATAGTTTACAAGGTATGTTAATAACTATTCAATTATTAAATTTTATTATAAATTAATGAAAAAGAAAAATATACACAATTATTTCTTAACTACATCTCGCGAAATAATTTTGAAAATATAATGTCAATCAATTTTTTTAATTTACAATTATAATAATTCTTAATTAAGGGAAATGAAAAAATAATCATTTATTTATATAATGCGCAAATACTATAAATCGATAAGCGCTACTGGTTTGTAGCAATGAATTAAAATTTATATATTATTTGATTAATTTATTAACATGATAATGTTACCCTCTTTTAGTAATAAGTACGCTTTTTCTGATCGCTATTGTAATATTCCAGATGGAATATTACAAAATCAATACCTCTTTCATTTCTCAGATCACAGAAAAGAATACGCTTACACTATTACACATTTAATTCTGACTTTTGAAAAATATAAAGTAGTCATGAGTCATTGTCTTTCTCGGCGTCTTCAAGACACCACAAAAATATTAAAAAAGGGAAATTAACAATAATAACTCTTTTGCGTTTATTGGAAAACGGACTGATGACTAAATGTGTCAATAAAAAACCATGAAACATTCGAGTCGCCCAATCTCCGTTTATGCCGTTCGTGGCACATTGTATAAGAGCTGAAGACTCTGTTTTTCCTCTTACTCTCTTATCTCTTTTTTTCACTCAACAATCTCTGTAATCAAGTAACTCTATAAGATTATTCCCTACGTACTATAGTGTATTCTTTTTACTGTGTCTCTATAGTCTTAACATTTTTTACTAAGTATAAAACGTACATTTGTTAAAATAACTAACACTTTGCTTAAAAATATATGAGCTTAAATAATTCCCCTATAATTCTCTTTTATTAACTTACGTACTATAATTTTAAACAACACTTAAAAACTACAAGTCAACAAACGAGAATCTATCATCATCAGTGGATATCAGGTAAGAATATTTTTAACACACTAATTACACTAATCAAGTAATAACTAGAAAGTACTTATTATGTCTTTACGGATGATGCCATTATCATCCTTCTATATTAATACCATCCCCATCAACTTTATTTTTATTTATTACACTATTTACATTCAAACAGCTGTAAGTTGTTGGAAAAAAAAATAATAAGCAAACGTTCATTTTTTAATTGAATAAATCTGACAATTAAAAAAAAAAATATGAGGTTGCTATTTTGAAATCGAAAATTTATACGAGTAAGAGTATATGTAATTAATTTTTCGTGTGAATATGCTCAATAAAGAATTTTTAAAAAACAATAATTGTTACAAAAATAAAATAATGAATAGCTCTTAATATTTCCAAATATATTTCATGAGATGTAGTTAATTAATCACCATTTTCTTCTTCCTCGCCTTAATCCCAACTACATGTATACATTATTTAAAAATATTTGAACAGCAATAGAAGAAATTTTAGGAAGCATTATGTGACCAAATTCAGAAATTAAATATATAAATGGAATTAATCACATAATTCAGATAGACAATCTGCAGTTGAGAACAGTTTACAAAGTTGGCACAATATTAATAACAGAAGATAGAAACTTTAATAAAGAAGATATTATAACAGCTAACTATACAACATTATGCCATAGTTATAGTATACACATTTAAAACTATACCGGTTTTATTATACCTAATGTTTATTTTTTTTTTGCATACAACTTAGTTTAAATGGCATTTAAGAAAACGGATTAAATTAAAACTTTCATGATATAGACATAAATTTATAAACCTAAAATTTGATTAGAATTTGGTTGTTGCTAAAAAAATTGTAACATTAGCTAAACAAAATTTATGACTAATTTTTTTTTTGTACTATTACTCAAAAAATTGTATTCATCATTTTATATTTACATTATTGCATTATGTGATGGTGTCACGTTACCAATATCGTGAGAATTATTTTAATAAAATACAGACAGCATGTCCGCTGTCTGAGACTGATGAATTAACAAATAATATTTATTGTCAATTTGGCAATAGTTCTAATTATTATAAAAACCCAAAAGACCTAACCATCGTGGTCAGTCGACTCCAGTGCCTTGTGTCATTCATCAGCCTCAGTACTCGGTTGCCGCTGTCCGGCTTACTGCTTAAAGTAAAGTCTTTGTTTATTCTTTCATAAACCTATCTACTCTCTTCCACAACATTTCAGAGTACTTGTGTCTTGCACTTGGTCTGCACTTTATACTCGGCTACCCGTTCTCTCTTTGAAGTACTCGTGTCTTGCACTTCATCTGCACCTCATACCTAGGTGTTACCCTGATTCCCTTCCTATAACAACAGCCTTTCGACACCCACAGCTAACCCGGAGTGTCAGCCGAGCACGGTGACTGCTGTACGACAACACGCACGTGAATACCTAGACAGCAGGCACCACTTCCTCATATTCTTCACACTAACGATTACATTTACGCTTTTATTTTATTGTGTTACGACAATTAGAAGTTGCCCCTTAAAATATTCAGTCGACTTTATTACAAATAATCTTTATTGAAAAATTTGCGATTTCAAATTTTTGGAAACGTTACCAGTTATGTATAATAAAGTCTCTTCCTCATACGTTTCCAAACAATTAAAATAAACCTTTTGTTACAGAACCAAAAGAAATAGAATATGGTCTTGAACTCACTCTCGGTATCAATAGCACTGAAGCTAATTGGAAAAATGTATGTATATAGAATTACCTTATATAAAAATTTATGTGAATTAATATTATACTTTTTATAAATTACCTCCAAATTCAATTATTTACTATAATTAAATATAATAATGCTAAATCATTCAATGTATAAATGTAACAAAAAAAATTACCTATTGAATGGAAAAATAAAATATTTAAATTTGTTTCTTTAAAGAAAATTTAATATGAAATTAAATTTTTAGTAATTATAATAAATTTAATCAAAATATCTCGGAGATTAAATGAATATTGGTGCTGCAACATACCAAAATATTATTAAAATGTTTAAAAAAGTTGAAATCAATTTAGTGAAAAGTTTTGTAAGTAATTATTAAAATAGTCTACAATTAATGTATTCAAATGTTAATCCAGTATATACGTTAAGGTAGATCAAAAAATATCTATCTTCGAAATTTTAATGAGACCATTTTAACTTTATTATATACATTAAAATAGCCATTTTATGAAAATTAGAGATTTTTAAAAAAAATTTTACTAGTTGCTCAATGTGTTATTAGTATTTTGACCAAAAAACGACCCCTGTTATTCAATTTTTGATCAAATATTATGATTAATATATCAAAAGAGTTTGTAAAATACAGTAGAATACAAATTTTTTAGTTTCAAAATTTTGAGTCTTAACTTAATAGTATGGATATCATAATTAGAGTCATTATATGAAATATTTCTAGTAGGTCCAAGTAAGCATACAATTTTTTTATACAGTTTGACTGGTATTAATTTATATTATAAGTAGTAAAAATTCTTAACTAATCATAAAAAATGATATCTTTTAGCTTCGATACGAAACTGAGAAGATATTAATTTTACTATGAAGTGCTTTTTTTGTGTCTGTTACCACTTTTTCTCAGCTCTCACCGAACGGATTTCTTTCAATGATACGTCAAAAGATCACAAATCGTATCTAGTCGAAGACATTACCCTCAAAAATTGAAAAAAAATCCCTCGTTCCCCGTAAATGGGGGAAACCTCCAAAAAAATTACAAATTTAAAAATCGCTAATTTTCGAAAAATTTTCTATTTTTTTTACTAAAAACTGCCGTAACTTTTTCAAAAATGAACATACCAATATAATTTTTTTTTTATAGATGCTTGATGTCTTTACCTATCACTTGGTATATTTTTTTTGTAAATTTGACCTTTTTTCTGCCTACAAAGGGGGATTTAAAATGACAACTTTTTCACAAAAAATTAACTTTTTCAACTTAATTTTTGAAAATGTTCCGGAAGGTCTGACACTTTTAATTTTGAAAAAATTTGACCTTTGGACTTTTCTTCACGGCGAAAATGGCTACCGAATGCTATTTTCGTGTGAAAATTCTAGATTTTATTATTCATATTATATTTAACTTTATAATGCTATGACATATTGAAAAGTGTATGGATCAACATTATTTTTTTATGAGAAATACTATATTTTAATAATCCCTTTTTCATTCGACATACTTTATCTTAATCGAGATATTAAGGAACCAGCAGATCAAGTAGCTTTTGGAATAAAACATCAATTTTTTTTAAATTAAACACTATCTAAATATTTGCATCGAAACGTTTATTTTTGATAGTGATTTTAATCACTGTCACATATCATTATACTTGATCCAACTATACCACGTCACAACTGTGCCGCGACCCCCCCTGTGCTGGGTTTTTTTTTTACATTTTTATGTTAAAGTATAGTGCAAAAAGTTTGAAAGAATGTGGTATCGAAGAATATTTATTAGTACTCATGTATCATTCAAAGTTTAATAAAAATCTTAAAGAAGTAGAAATTGCTTATAGTAAATCGACTTCATACATATTTAAACATTGTATCTCGGCATTTACTTATTCTGTTAAAATAAGAGGATTTACAGTTCTTGGTCCAATGAGACAGAAATTAAATCTACAACCTCAATTCTAATGGTAATTTTTGAGACACTATCAAGGTTGGGCTTTATTAGAATTTTTTACAAGTTAAAATGTTAGTTAAGTAACTCGTTACTTTTTTAACAACTTAACTTTTATTTAACTTGTTACTCTTTACCCTGAATAACATTAAATTAAAGTACTTTACAATAATACAAAAATAAAGTTGAATTTTTTCCAGCTACTTTTAACATTATTAAGTTAAAAACATATATGAGTTAATATACGACTTAACATAGTGTTTTTAAAATTAACTTAACTATAATAAGTTAAAAAATGTGCCCAACCTTGATAATTACAATGTACAAACTACAATAAGTTTAATAATATTTTCAAAGTAACATCTTCAAATTTGTAGGTAAATAAGTATTTTAGTTGTTATTGTCAATAGTAAATTACAGTTTACAATAACATTTAGTATAACTTAATCGACTTAGTGCTAAATACTCAATATATAATAAAGATAGATGCTGTAACTATTGGATATGAGTATGATAGATATAATCAAAATATGATTTATGCAATAACGGCATCTACATGTAATGATAAAAATTTATTCATATTTATGAAATTTTTATAAACTTAAAAATATAATATAAGCCAAAAAATATTTAACTCTAAAAGCCGAAAAACTGCTAAAAAACCATGTATACATATTTAATGAATAATTTTAATATAATCACATATATAAGGAAGTAATTTTCGGTTGGGGTGTCTGTATATGTTTAGCGTTGATGATGGTAAAATTGTTTCTGAATACGTATACGCGATTTTTTATTATTTAATGATGCCTTTTAAGTTAGAAATTTATAATATAGTTTTGTTAAATTTAATATTTTAAATATAATAATTTTAACTACGAGTGTTCAATTTTTATTTATTAATTTTTTATTAGAAGATAATTAAGGCTTCAACTACTAAGATTATTAGTCTACAAAGAATACAATACATTTCTTAAAAGTTCAATTTTTATTTTTCGAATGGCTCCACGATGCGATTGAAGACACACATAGACATTGGGTTATGTTCAGTAATTACACAGTGAATTATTTTTTAATTTTTTATAATACACATTTTTAAAAAATTTCCTCTTACGAACATCGTCTTCCTTGGCAGAAAGAATCTTTTCAGACAATTCAGATTACTCATACTTAAATACTCTTACTAATTAAAAATCAGTCGATTTTAAAAATCACAATAAAAATAAATTAACTATATCACTATACTGCATATATACTACATACTACTACATATTATATAATATATTAATTACACATTTCCTTTATAGTACCAGATATTGCACCAGTTATAGATATTAACAATCCCTTAATCGTTACTAACCAAACAATTCTTATTAAATGGTACATGGACAAGTTAAATGGTTTCTATAACTATAATTGAACAATTATAATTAATACAAGTTGAACTATTAAAAAGTTACTGATTTTATAATTATTTACTGTATAATTTATAATAATCTGCTTAGTTTTTTATTTTATAGTGTTAAATGTACTATTACTGTTTTTCAAAAATTCTTAGTCAATTTTAGAAAGTTTTCAAGTAAACTTTATACTATTATAGTGTGAATTAATGATTTCAATTTTCGAAAAAAAAAAATTGAATATTTGATTAAACTTTTCATTAAATATTTCATAAACTGGTGAACATTTTAAAATTTTAAATGTAAACTTGAATATTTATAAAATTAGTCGCTTAAAATTTATTAATATTAAAAAAATGTTAGACGTGTTCAATATTATTTTCAGATCCAGTTAACGCGCAATTATTAATAATTTTAGAACTTTTTACTGAAAATAATTTCTTAGGTAAAATGTAGAGTGATATAAATCTAGGATAAAAAAAAATTATTTAGCTAAATATTATTTTACTTAAGCCAATACCCTCAAAAATTTAAAAAATTTCCCTCGTACCCCGTTAATGGATGAAATCTTCAAAAAAATTACAAATTTAAAAATCGCTTAATTTCAAATTTTTTTCAATTTTTTTTACTTGAAACTGCCATAACTTTTTAAAAAATTACCAAATCATAATAATTTTTCTTTATGGGTCATTCCATGTGAAATCACCTAAAGTGTGTGCTGGTATAGTTCAGAAATTTGTGAAATTTATATCATAGATTTCTTAAAGATCATTGACAACAAAAATAATTTTTTATCGCAATATAATTCTTTAAACAAAGCAAATTATGATACTTTGGTAAAGTCTAGATCTATAAAATATTTATTTTTAATTTCTTATCATGGGTTATTGATTGTTTTTAAAGATCAATATCTATGAGTACCTTATACAGTACAATCCATTTTAATGATGATTACAGATCACGTTAATGATTTCATGACCAGAAACTATACACCTTTAAAGGATTTGGAATTAATATTAACTTTAATTTATAAAAAATATACAATAGGTGTATAACTATCTTTTGCTTAACATTTTTTTAAAATTATTTCGAATTAAAAAAATTTCTTCCTACCACCCCCTGCCACTCATCTAATGCATTGACTTCTTGTGACGTATAACTATACACTATTACTATAAAAAAAAAACCACCATAAAATATTTATTTTAAATTCTATTTTTGCACTTGTTTAAACAATTTAAAATTTTTAAGCTTATTACAATAATGAAATGAATTTAAATTTAATCAATATATAGTTTTATAAAACATTTTCAATGATTTACAAACTTATTAATCACTTAATCGAAAAATAAAAATACATTTTTTTTTTTATTTGGACAAGTCTCTTATGCAAACAATAATAAATAACTCGGTAAATGTCAAGCAAAATTAATTTTTCGCATAAAATTATGGATAACTACGCTAATATTTAAACATATTAAAAAAAAAACTATTTAAAAATTTTATTTTTCCTTGTGGATAGGGTATAAGAATACTTCCACTGCCCCTCTGCCAGTCGTAAGAGGCGACTAATGAGGTTGCGTTAGGTCGACAGCCGACGTAAAATTTTTGTCAAATAGTAGAGATGTCCTGAACGAAATTTATGTGAATTGTTCCATCTCGGATGTACGTGGGGACAACAGGTGAGAGGGAATAATGTAGTTAAAAACGGAGAAGGCCTAAGGTTATTCCTGTGTTTGACACCAGCCGGACAACTTGTGCGATAGCTGTTTACCAGTTATATGTTCAGGTCTACCCAACGCTTGTAGTGTCAATGGTGTAGGGATATCACCACTCAACTCTAGGCTGGACTCGTGTTTAAGGGGGAAAGATAGATACAAAGTAAGAATAGGTACTTGGAATGTTGGAACATTAACTGGTAGATGTAGAGAATTAGTATTGAAGAGAAGAAAAGTTAACATTTGTTGTGTGCAGGAAACTAAATGGAACGGAGAGAAATCGAGGGGAATAGGTGAGGGTTATAAAATAATATACTCAGGTAAGTCCAGTACAAAGAATGGTGTAGGGATAATGTTTATGTGTCCAGTCTGCCCTCCTGTAGTAATACGTGTGTCACTGTGTCAACCATATAAGCTTAGTTGGGGTTATAATAATAATGTAAGATTTTATCGCATATATGTGATCGTATCAGCTGCTCCCGCTACATTTTAGGCCTGACCTCAGACCTTAACAAAATAAAACAATTTGAGATAATAATAAAAAAAAATTTTATCTGAAATAAAGTTATTTGGAGAGATATTAACATCTTAGTAACAATCTCTAAATCTTCGATGTCCACGCTCCTAAAGCTTTTAAGCTTTGAAGGAGTTTCCATCACGTGGGCTCTCAATTGTCGACTACCAAGCGGGGTTCAATGAGAAATTGTATATTTTTTATAAATTAAAGTTAGTATTAATTCCAAATCCTTAAGCCCGTGTACGATCCTACAAAACCAGACCGTGGATCGTATACCAAGACAGTAAGTAATAAACGATAATAATAATAATACAATTAGTATATATGTATGTGTTTACAGTTAATGACTTGTACAGCTGGGCTATGAGTCAGTCTATACCGTACGGCGGGTTCCGGTGGTATGAACGCAAAGACGCCATAGCCGATTTAAACCGGTTGTCCGACACCGGCAGAATATTTGAAGTCGACGTATCCTATCCCCAAGAGATGCACGACGGTCATAACGATTTACCTTTTTTGCCTGAAAACAACGTACCGCCCGGATCCAAAACGACTAAACTTATGGCCACTTTGAAACCTAAACGGTGGTACATTTTGCACTATGTCAACTTAAAGCAGGCCATCGCTCACGAGCTGCCAGTCGAAAAATTAACGATAATTTGCATATATATATATATTAACATACGAGCATATTACATTTTGCAGATCCACCGCATTTAAATGTTTAAACAGAGCGTTTGACTACAATCGTATATTGCTTTAAATACGGAAATGAGGAAAAAAGTGGTCAATAACTTCAAAAAGACTTTCGATGCGAAGCTGAGCAGGTATTAATTTTACCATGATGTGTTTTTTTATTTTGTGTCTGTTACTACTTTTTCTCAGCTCTCAGTAGACCGATTTTTCTCAACGATACGTCAAAAGATCACAAATCTTATCTAGTTGAAGGCATTATTCTCAAAAATTGAACATTTTTCCCTCGTTCTCCGTAAATAGTGAAAGTCCTTCAAAAAATGACGATTTTTAAAATCAGTAAATTTCTACATTTCTTTCTAAAAATTTCCATAATTTATTGAAAAATGAACAAATTAAAATAATTTTTTTTATATTTTCCCTTTTATTTGATATCATATTTTTGAAAATCTAACCCTTTAACTGCCCACAAGAAGAGATTCAAAATAGCAACTTGTTTTTACAAAATTCAACTTAAATTTTGAAGTTCTACGGAAACACTGCGTTTTTTAAATATATGTCAAATTATAGTTTATGTTACGTTATATACATTAAAAAAACAAATTGTCTCGACGACCTATCTTCTACGTGCAAACGGCTGCCGTAGTTAAAAAACATGATATTTTTGTGTTCAAATTTTATTTTATTTTTTGTTTATTTTAAAATACTTTATAAGGGTTAGCCATAGTAACGAGTCCACCAATTTTTATAAAAGTTACATGAATCTAATTTACATTAAATATAAATTTAAACTTATTTTGATTATTTTACCTCTTCAAAGTTAAGAAAAACTTTTTTGAATTTTTTAAAACTTGAAATTTGTATAAAAAGTAGAAATTTTTCAACATAACTTTTGATAATGTTGCGGGAATACTGCGTCTTTTAAATATATGTTAAAATAAAGCTTCTGTTATGTACAAGAAGTTCAAAAAAAAAAAAAATTTCTACTGACGACCTATTCTCTATGTGCAAAGGGTAGTCGAAATAGAACAAAAAATAGGAGTTATTTTTGCTTTTGGAATAATCCACCAATTTCTTAAATTTAAACACTCTTTACAGATTTGTATCGAAGCGTTTCTTACACCCAAAGAAAAACCTCAATCAATTTTGATAGAGAAATTTTATCAAGGGTTTATGATAATGTTTTATTAATACGAACAAAATAACTATTCTTATAAATAATTATTGTTCAAGACAAGAAAAAAAAATATCATATTGATAAATATATCATAGGTTCAATAGTAATGATATATTTATCAAATTCAACAATGAATTTATTATATAGATCGAGGTTTTTCTCTGGGTGTATAATAGTGATTATAGTCACTGTCAGATATCATCTAAACTTGTCCCAACTATTGATATATATTATTTTTTCACAATACTTATACAATCGTATTTTTAGACTCTTTCATGTATATCATTCGGGCTAAAAACTATTACCGAGACTTGGTCCGGACATACTGCGTCATTGGACACGTCGAACCTGCCCAAAAATCATCCCAGCAACTCAATCGTCCGCGACAAGGTGCCTGATTTTTTTTTCGGACGAGACGGGTGATCTTATGCTTTATGAATGGGTAGCGCTTTGGTCAAAGTGCTGCGCTTACGACTTAGAGGAACGGATCAAGCCTAAAGGAATACGTAGGCATATCGTTGGAAATCATTTGACGTTGGATGACTTCAAACGGTGTCTATTCCAAGACGATGATGAGAATGACAACGACAGCGAGTTAAAACGATTTTTAGTTGGACAAAATGGCCACGCGGTCAACGAGGTTATACGTAGAGACGAACATCCACAAACATCATCGTTACCGTACACTCCGTACAGGTTCGCATTTTGTGAACAACAAAGTTAGCGGTTAATCGTCACGACGACAACCGCTAGATCTTGAAGAACAGATTCGATACGTTAGCCTACGGACATTATGCCATACCACAGTGAGAAATTTGATCTTCATTAGTTTTTATAATAATAAGATTGTAAAATTTTTTTTTGAATATTTACTATGTATATATAAAATGTAAAATATATTTTACGCAAATCATATAATTTAATTATATGTTATAGTTTTTTGTAAATATAAGTAGTGTATATTTTTAATTGTTGTTATAGTGAAATTTATTCGAGTTTATACATTTTTAAGTTTTATTGACTTATTTAGAACCATCATTTAAACCTTCTCCCGGGAAAAATTCTTAATTATATAAAAATTATGATAAACATGTGGCGGTCGAATGTTCTAGAATGTTCGGCCGCCGTCGCCTCTAGAAGATTCCTCTGACTATATAAGGGCAAGATCGTCGCTCCAGTCAATCAATCGATCAGTCAATCACTTACGCATTCTGTCTTAAACGCGCTTCGTCTCTCGCTGTTATTTGTTAGTTCGTTGTAATATAGTATAGTTGTTATTAAATCGTAAAAGTGTTTATTACTTCTATATATTACACCTCGCTACATTGGTGACCTCGACGATAACAAGTATGAACGCCGAAGAACTACGCAATCAATTGGAGGAGTTACGCCAAGAAAACGCTCGCCTTGCAGCACTACAGGCACAGCAATATCCAACAGCTTCAGTGAATCGCGTTGCCGTCAAGTTGCCACCTTTCTGGTCCGAAAGACCAAGCTTATGGTTCTCACAGGTTGACTCGCAGTTTGCAATCTCGGGAATAACAAGTGAGGAAACAAAATTTAATTATGTTGTGGCTCAGCTTGATACGCGTTACGCCGCCGAAGTAGAGGATATTATTACTAACCCACCGCCTACTGAACGCTACAAACATCTACGCGCAAAACTCGTTGAACGGTTGTCTATCTCAGAAGAACAACGTGTGCGGCAACTCATCAATGAAGAAGAACTAGGTGACCGTAAGCCATCACAGTTCTTACGACATCTCCGTTCCCTTGCCGGCACTACTACATTACAAGACAATATTTTACGTCAACTTTGGCTCCGCCGTCTACCATCACATGCACAAGCTATTTTAACCGCACAATCAGAGCTTCCTCTGGATAAGGTAGCCGAGCTGGCTGACAAAATTGTTGAAGTGCAGCCAGCCCCCTCGCAATTCGTCCATGCTGTTGCCACGACGAACAATAAAAAGGAACTCGATGTTTTAGCTGCCATTGAAGCACTCACAAAACAGGTAAGCGAATTATGTGCTAAACGCCCGCAACGTTCCCGCTCTAGGTCACGTAACCGTTCAAACGTGGAACTGACTAACGGCAAAGGATGGTGTTGGTATCATAGCACTTATGGAGAAAAGGCTGCCAAATGTAAGGCTCCCTGCAAGTATCAGGAAAACTCCAACGACAGTCAGTAGCGGCGGCAACAGACTGTCCGAACCCGAGCAGCCGCCTGTTTGTTACAGATCAAATAACAAAACGCCAATTTTTAGTCGACTCCGGTTCCGACTTATCTTGTTACCCTCAACGGCTACTACGGGAACGACGCCATGCCACCGATTACGACCTCAGCGCGGCCAACAACAGTACCATAAAAACTTACGGGACGGTCCATCTCAATTTGAATTTAGGACTTCGACGCAGTTTCCCGTGGAGTTTTATTGTCGCCGACGTGAGTACTCCTATCATTGGTTCCGACTTCATGGCATACTACCACTTGCTGCCGGATTGCCGTACCAAACGTCTTATTGATGGTGTCACAGGCTTGGCTGTGAATGGTAAGGTTTCCTCTGTAAATCAATACAGCATAAAATCAGTTGTCAACACTTCTCCTTGGGCTACACTTCTCGCAGAATTTCCGGACATCACACGTCCCACCGGATTGCCCAGGACAATAAAACATCAAACAGTGCACCACATTCTTACGACACCTGGTCAGCCAATAGCCTGCCGCCCACGCCGCTTAGCTCCAGGTAGACTAAAAATCGCCAAACAGGAATTCGCGGAAATGGTCAAGGCAGGTACCGCTAGACCTTCAAGCAGTCCGTGGTCTTCACCATTACATTTAGCACCGAAAGGGGAGAACAGCTGGCGTCCTTGTGGTGAATACCGCGCGCTGAACGCCCGAACTATACCAGACTCCTATCCAGTCAGACACATACATGATTTCTCGCACAACCTGGCTAATTGCACGCTATTTTCCACAATCGATCTGGTAAAGGCTTACCATCAAATACCTGTTAATCCGGACGATATATGCAAAACAGCCATTACCACTCCATTCGGACTTTACGAATTTCCTTTTATGACATTCGGATTGCGAAATGCTGGACAAACTTTTCAACGCTTCATAGACGAAGTTACCAATGGGTTGGACTTCTGTTATGCATATATTGATGACATTTNGAATGGGTTGGACTTTTGTTATGCATAAATTGATGACATTTTGGTATTCTCTAAATCGGAAGAGGACCACAAACAGCATTTACGCACTCTTTTCGGGAGACTTTCTGACTACGGTGTTGTCGTTAACCCGCAAAAATGTGTATTAGGTTCGGCTGAGGTGAAATTTCTAGGTTACCTAGTATCTTCTGAAGGCACCCGCCCGCCACCGGAACGCGTCGAAGCCCTACGACAGTATCCATTGCCAAAATCTATGCAAGGATTACGCCGGTTTTTGGGAATGGTAAATTTTTATCGCCGGTTTATTCCCAAAGCTGCCGACCTGCAAGCACCACTTCACGGTATTCTCAAAGGCCCGAAGACAAAAGGTTCCCAACCGATAGAATGGACTCCCGAGTTAGAAAAAGCGTTCACCACATGCAAAGAAAGTCTTGCGACCGCTACTCTTTTAGCACATCCTCATCCAGCCGCACGACTTGGACTATTCACAGACGCATCTAGCCAATCTATCGGCGCATGTCTGCAGCAGCGAGTCAATAACATCTGGCAACCCATAGCATTTTTTTCAAAGAAAATGTCGGTGAAACAAAGTGCGTGGCCTGCGTATTATCGTGAGTTGCTTGCCATCTATGAATCGGTGAAGTATTTCAGGCACATTGTCGAAGCACAACCATGTACCATTTTCACCGATCATAAGCCACTCGTATATGCTTTCACCCAACGGAGAGAAAAGATACCTCCTACGCAACTCAACCAGTTGACATTCATATCCGAATTCACCACCGACATTCAACACATTAAAGGTGATGAAAATATCGTCGCGGATACAATGTCACGCATTGAAGTTGTGTCTCTCCCGCTGGACTACCGAGCTCTTGCTGCATCTCAAGACACGGATGATGAACTCAAACATTTTACTGACAACAATTCATCTCTTCATTNGCAATTCATTTCTTCATTTGGAGAAGGTACTAGTGCCAGGATCTTCAGCCTATATTTATTGCGACACGTCAACGGAACGCCCACGACCATTTTTGCCACAACGATTCCGGCGTCACGCATTTGATCAGTTACACAACCTTAGTCACCCCGGTGCACACGCAACAGCTCACTTAGTTTCAGAACGATTTGTGTGGCCAGCAATGAAAAAGGATTGCCGTTCCTGGGCACGTGCCTGCGTCCACTGTCAGCGATCGAAAATAAGCCGACACGTCTCAGCCCCACTGGGAAACTTTGAAACACCTTCACGCCGATTCAAACATGTTCATGTCGATATCATCGGTCCATTGCCGCCATCACAGTCCTTTAGGTACTGTCTGACGGTAATCGACCGTTTCACCCGTTGGCCGGAGGTGTATCCACTCGAACGTATAACAGCAGATGATGTCACTAAGGGTTTCCTCAATTGCTGGATTTCACGCTTCGGAGTACCTCAATACGTTACGACTGACCGTGGTACTCAGTTTGTTTCAGCTACTTTAAAAACTTTAGCAAAACGTTTTGGTTTTACGCTTCGCCCCACTACCAGTTGGCATCCTGCTGCAAACGGATTCGTCGAACGAATGCACCGACAACTAAAGGCAGCCATCATGGCCCACGCAAAAGACTCGTGGACTGAGTCACTGCCTATCGTGCTTCTCGGAATACGTTCTGCGTTTAAGGAAGACTTAAAAGCCACGTCTGCGGAACTTGTTTATGGTGAGCCTCTTAATCTTCCTGGTGATTTCTTCACAGACAAGCAAGATAATAGCAGTACGAACGACCCTACTAGCTTACTAGATCGTCTTCGCAGTGTTATGAATAAAATTCGTCCAGTACCTGCATCTCGCCACTCAAATCCACGATCATTTGTTTTTGCGGACCTTAAGGACTGTTCACACGTATTTCTCAGGGAGGGAGGTGTCCGAGCAGCACTTCAACCGCCATATCAAGGTCCCTTCGAAGTAATTGCCCGAAATGACAAAACGTTCACAATAAAAGTTCGAAATCAATCAGTTACGGTGACGATTGATAGAGTAAAACCTGTCTACCTCATGGTGAACGAAAGCACAACCGATAGCCAGGCACATGCTCCACCAGCGACTGCCCCGAATACGCCCAAACAAAAACAACCGCCTAATACCGATCCATCAACACAGCCAGTACGAACAACTCGCTCGGGCCGCCGAGTCAGATTCCCGGACATTTTTAACCCTAGCTAACTCCACTCCGTAGGGGGGTGGTGTGGCGGTCGAATGTTCTAGAATGTTCGGCCGCCGCCGCCTCTAGAAGATTCGTCGCTCTACATAAGCGTGTGGCGGTCGAATGTTCTAGAGAGTTCCGCCGCCGCCTCTAGAAGATTCCTCTGACTATATAAGGGCAAGATCGTCGCTCCAGTCAATCAATCGATCAGTCAATCACTTACTCATTCTGTCTTAAACGCGCTTCGTCTCTCGCTGTTATTGGTTAGTTCGTTGTAATATAGTATAGTTGTTATTAAATCGTAAAAGTGTTTATTACTTCTATATATTACACCTCGCTACAAACATATGTTTAGAATAAATTAAAAACTAATTACTACTTTTTCTAAAATTAATGTCTTTATGTATATAATAATACATATAGTTCATAATTTATTGATATCTGTAATTAAATTCCAAACATCCGTTAAACGGGTTGTATTGTATTATTCGATCGTGAATAATCAAACAATAAGTGGTGGTAGATGAAGGAAACTCGGGGGACGATTCGAAGTCAATTCTGAGGTCTATAGTTGACGTTTTTACATCATCCTTTTAAAGAGTTATTATATACCAATGATTGTAAATGAACATAGTGAAAATATCTTCCTAAAAATTATTTTTACAAACATTACTTTGGTAAAAATATAATCACACAGTAAATATACTGATTAATTTTACTAAAAATTAAAAAATATTATTGTCAAAGTCGTTTTACTTTGAAAAAATAACTATTTATTATTTACCTTTTTAATGATTTTCAAACTTCTATATTGAAAAATAAGGCTAATTGACATAGAGGAACTAGTAGAACACATGAAAACAAATTATTAAGCTGTTTCTTAAGATATATAGCAAAATAGATTATTTTTTTACATTTATAAACATTATAATCGGTAGAAGAAAATCCCTTTAGAGATTTTAGTTTATAAGAGTAAATGAGGATACTTGGAAGATCAATGGTGGATAGGTACTTATTTTTCTAGTAATAAGGGAAATAAATTATTTAAACTCGTGTAAAGGTGATATTGTTTAAAAGAAAAACCTTTAGAAGGATTCGTTAATGTAAATAGAAAAATTTCTTAGAAAATTAATAAATTTAAAAAAAAATCCTATTATTTAACACACTAATCATATATTGTATTTTTCATAGAATGTGAACAATAAGTGTATATTTTCTATTTTCTTAATAACGTAATTATTAACTATTAACATAAAACTCTCAAATGATATACATAATGTTCAATATATATTTATGTAATATATATCAATATATATATCAATATATATTGATATATATATTGGTGTGTTCCCTCAGGGGGGTGCAAAAGCACTACGGGTTTGGCGAACCCGGGGCCGCGAGCTCCTACTGGTGGACGATTCCAGTTGGAAGATGGTGAAGGGAACCTTTGCCATCTGGAACAGGACACAACGTCTGAACTTGTCTTTATGGTGAAAATGACTGCCGTATTCAAAAATACACTATTTTTGTGAAAAACTTCTTGATATTATATTTTACATTTTAACTTCGATGCGAAGCTGAATTGGTATTAATTTTACTACGATGTGTTTTTTATTTTTCTATTGTGTCTGTTACCACTTTTTCACAGCTCTCAACGAACCGATTTTTTCAACTAAACGTCAAAATATCACAAATAGTATCTAGTCAAAGACAATAAACCTTAAAAAATTGAAAAAATTTCTCTCAATCCCCGTAAATAGGGGGAATCTCCAAAAAAAATTACAAATTTAGAAATTGCTAATTTTCGACATTTTTCAATTTTTTTTATTTAAAACTGCCATAACTTTTTCAAAATTGTTGAAATTAATATAATTTTTTTTTAATAGATGCATAATGTCTTTACCTATCATTTGATATATTTTTTTATAAATTTGATCCTTTACCTGCCCACAGGGGAGATTCCAAAAACCTACTTTTTCACAAAAAATTAACTTTTTCAACTTAATTTTTAAAAGTGTTCGAGAAATATTGACACTTTTATATATATCTTAAATTAAAATAGCAGAATATAAATAATGAAATAGGAGATCATGTAGCTTTTGGAATAATCCATTAATTTTTTAAAATTAAACACTATCTACAGATTCGCATCGAAGCGTTTTTTATGATAGTGATTTTAATCACTGTCAGATGTCATCTATACTGGACACAACTATGCCACGATGTTTTTTTACTTAAAACTGCCATAACTTTTTAAAAATGACAAAATCCATATAATTTTTTTTTATAGATGCATGATGTCTAAACCTATCACTTGATATAATTTTATTTTAAATTTGACCCTTTACCTGCCCAAAGAGGGGATTCCAAATGACTACTTTTTCACACAAAATTAACATTTTCAATTTAACTTTTGAAAGTGTTCCGAAAATACTGACACTTTTATATAAATCTTAAATTAAATGTAATCTACAAATTTGTAGATAGTGTTTAATTTTAAGGAATTGTTGAATGATTAAAAAAGCTAATCAAATCCTATTTCCTTGATTAAGTACCTATTATAGTAATAAAATGAAGCTTAAAACTGATATTCAATAATTTAATATTGTAATTTATAAAGAGAAATTATCAAATTAATTATTAATACGGAACATGGCATATTTAATCATTTTTTTAATTTTTTTAAGTTTATTTTTATGAAAGTTTATAGTTAACAAAAGTTGAATTTGTTACTATAATTTTTAGTTTAACTTGCAAGTTTGAAATTGACATCATTATAAAAAAAATGTATGAGAATATAAAAAAATGTTATTGTTAAGATTAATTATGCTGTCCTAAAATTTTATAATTTCTATTAACAGTAAATTTATCAGAAAAGCTTAATATTTGTTTGCATTTTTATCAAATAAATATATAAAAGAAAATGGTTTTATTTAAAAAAAAAAGTATTTCCACAAAAGAAGAATATAAATAGTACTTCTCTTAAAAAATTATAAAGTTAAAAATTTAAAAAAGAATTTTTTTACAAAAATCGTATTTTTTTTATTAACTTTGATATCCGCTTTCACCATGAAGACAAAATAAAGTCCGACATTTTTTTTTTTCCATTATAAAGTATATTACATAAGCTTTAATTAAATGTATACATAAAAGTGTCAGTATTTCCGGAACACTTTTAAAAGTTAATTTTTTGTGATAAAGTTGTCATTTTAAATCCCCTCATGTGGGCAGGTAACGGGTCAGATTTATAAAAAAAATATACCATATGTTAGGTAAATACCTCATGTATCTATAAAAAAAAATGTATATTGATTTAGTCATTTTTAACAAAGTTATGGCAGATAAAAAAAAACACATCATCGTAAAATTAATACCTTCTCAGCTTCGCATCAATGTTAAAAGTCTTTAAAAATGGTTTATACCATATATGTAAATATAGGGGTGTTACTACTTAAGTACTCGAATAGTAATCTAATCTGATCCTCTATAAATTTCAAAAGTATTATTAAAAATTTTTGAAAAATCAAATTTAAGGTTATATAAAACTATATTTATAGTGGAGGAAATTGCATTTAACACTCGAATTTTCTTTTACAATTCATAGATCCAAATGTAGGATATTTTTGGAATACTAAATGAGGGGTAAAAGTTCAAGATTCACTTTTTCTTATTAATAGCCTTTATTAAAATAATATTTAGCTCAACAATTATAAACAAAGAAAAAAATAAGTAAATTAGAAGTATAACAGTAACAGTGCTATGTTATAATGGTATAACAAATATGACAATAATTGTTAGTATACTCAAAAATAAAGAAAAAATTAAATATTATTAAAATTATTGTTAATAGAGATTTAAAAGTACAACTAAAAGAATTACTAAATTAAAATTTTTATTTGAAATAATGGAGGAAGAGAGAAAGTAAATAAATAAGTAAATAGAAGAATATAAAATAAAATAATGAGAGATTAAATGACAAAGCCGGAACTCCTCAAGAAAGATATGATTGAAATAATAATAAAAGAAGAACGGGAATTAAGAGTATTATCTACGGAAGGGGGATTACTATTGTGGGAGGCTAAGAGGCTGAAAAGATTCACTATAAATTCTTAAAAAACAAAATAAAATACAATTTTGCATTAGCGGTATCGCAGATGCGCAAAAATGCACTTTTGCTCTTAAGAAATGCTTTTTCGGTTTTTAAACATAATGTTTTTAATTTAACTAGAATCACTTTAGCTTCTTCCTTTGTAAAATATAATGTTATAAAATATTTTACTACAAAATATCTTCACTCATAGAACATAACCACAAAGGAACCATAATGTATACGTTAAAGTGATTACACTCTAAAAATTATGTTTGTAAGTATAACTGATTCTGTCACAACATTTATTTAATTGTTCAACCACCTGTTTTTATCAAAATGTAATATTGATAACAGCGATGATATTTAATTGGTTTAAAACTGATATACAGTAAACAATATATTTTATTAAACTACGTAGCATTTTATTTGTAAGCCTTAAAGTTGGCCACCATATTTGATCGCCGGTCAACTATCTAGTATTTAACTTTGGTGTGGACTCATTGCCAACTATATTCAATAACAATATATGTGACTTGCAGCTTATAAGAATTAATTCTACGCCATTAATTCAATTTATAAGAAGTATTTTGTATTCTTACAACTAAATATTATTTTTCGTTTGAATTTTTGATAAAATGAATTTTTTTGGAACAATTGGTTTATTTTTATTTATAACTTTGTCACGTGGATATGATGAAAAGAAAGATGTTAAAACTAATTTATTAAGGTATTATTAATTTATTAATTGTTCAAGATAATAAAATAAATCACTGTAATGTCTTCTCCCTTTATATTTTTATCAATTCTTTTTTTAGGGTCAATTTAATTAAAACAAAAAGTGTTCGTTCAACATTCCTAGAGCTTAACAATCAATTCACCCAGCTGAGTAATCGTTATAGCAATTTTGGTGCTGAGCCTTTATCTAACTACCTTGATGTAAGTATAGTCATATTTTGTTCAACTTATTAAAAAGAAGATATTGATTATGATAATTTTGAACTCCTATGTTACTTGTTTAACACGAATCAATAAATATAATCTAAGAAGTATTAAATATCAAAAATTAAATAATTGAATATTTTAAAGTATTTAGAATTATACACTTTGTTGAGTTCTAATAGACCTTTGCAAAAAAAAAAAAATATATTAATGTAAATTTTATTTTTAGGCCCAATATTATGGTCCGATTAGTATTGGTACTCCTCCACAACCATTCAATGTGGTTTTCGATACTGGATCATCTAATTTGTGGATACCTTCAAAACATTGTAGTATTTTAAATATTGCCTGCAGTAAGTTGTTATTATGATATCATTGAACAAATAGAAAAATAAATATTTATGTCTTTATGAACAGAAATTCATAATAAATATGATGCTGAACTATCATCAACTTACCAAGAAAATGGAAAAAAATTTGAAATTAAATATGGATCTGGTAGTCTTTCTGGATATTTATCTACAGATGTTCTTACAGTATGTATGGATATAAATTATATCAATATACAAATATCTATTATTTTAATTATGTAGATGGATGGAATTCAAATTCAAAATCAAACATTCGCAGAAGCTATTCAAGAACCAGGATTAGCATTTGTTGCTGCTAAGTTTGATGGAATTTTGGGCCTTGCATATGATACTATTTCTGTTGATGGTGTTGTCCCACCATTTTACAATATGTTAAAAAATGGTGCGATAAAAGACCCAGTGTTTTCATTTTACTTATCTAGGTAAGTTTTAATTACTATTATAATTATTATAATTTATATAATATGTATAGTTAGCGCCTCAAATAACTCAATACTTGTGCTAGAATGGATAGGAAACCTATAAAACTCATTAATTTGTTTTTACCTTTTTTTTTTATTTTTTAAAGTCTATTTGACAATTGTCATCTAAACTAAATATAACAAGAAAAACAAATTTTGACATTAAGAAAATTTTTTCAAACAATATGAAGATGTATGTTGTTTTCTGTTATTTTTTAAGTAATATATGATGATAGCTAAATTGCTAAGCTAGATTTTTATTGAATATGAACAACAAAACTTTTATTTAATAAGATATGTAGGTTTGAATTGATTTAGTCGTGCTGTTATCTGTTTTGATTTATAAATATAATATTCTTATCAATATTTATAATAATTTAATATAGTAATTAATCTTATTTTTTAATTTTAGAGATCCAAATGTTACTCCTGGTGGAGAAATTATCTTTGGAGGATCAGATCCTGATAAATATACAGGAGATTTCACATATGTTGATGTAACTAGACATGGATATTGGCAATTTAAACTAGATGAGTGAGTACTAGTAAATTAAATTCTCTCCGTTTACTTTTGAAGTATGTGGATTGATTTATATTTTTCAGAATTATTGTTGGGAATACATCAATTGCTAGTGGCTCCTTGCAAGCAATAGCTGATACAGGTACCAGTCTTATTGCTGGACCTGTAGAAGAAGTACAAAAAATAAATACTCTTCTTGGTGGTACTGCCATACCTGGCGGAGAATACATGGTATGTTAAAATATGTAATTAAAAAATGTACTGTAACTATATTTATATACATATATGAATATTATATATATATATGAATTTTGAATTATATATTATTAAATAAATAAGCTATATTCTAAATATAATTTAGGTATTTTGATAGCTGCTTTTAATTATGAACTATCATTATAATTAGATGGCTTTACACTTAAAAAAAAGTAACTATTTATTTTAACACTGTTAACACGAACGATATAAGTTTTAGATTTTTATGCATCCATTAAATATATCTTTTTAATTTTAAATAAATAAATCTTATTATTAATTGGTATAATATTATAGATTAGTTGTGATCAAATTGACAATCTGCCTGTTATAACATTCAAAATAGGGTCAAATCCATTTACTCTAACTGGAAAAGACTATATTCTTAAGGTAAAGTATATACATATATTATTATAGTTATTTTTAGGGTAATTATCATGACTGTCGTAAGAAAAGAAATTATTGAAATTTCAGATAATTTTTCTGATATTTATAATCACAAAAAGTAAATATTCTAGAAGATAAAAGATTGTTTACTATGAACTAAGTTTATTTTTTTCTATGCTCAATGATTATTTCATTTGAATTTATTTTCATAATTGAATATAGAATGTGTTCCTTTTTACTAACTAATATTCCCCTAACTGTAAGGAACTAAATGGGGCTATAAAATAAATTAATTCAAAGATGGATATGTCCTCATGAACTCATGTATTCTAGTATAAATTTAAATAAAAAAAGAAAATTTTTTATGAGAAAATCGATATTATTATAAATTAATAAAAATAATGAATGTTGTTAATCCCTGTAATTACATGTTTACTAATTTATTATAATAACTAGTGATTATAAGCCAGCTGTAGTAATTTTTCAAAATTATCTAAAAACAGAAGTGTAAAGGTCTATAAACATTTTAAACTTTTAGTTATCGAAAACAATGATTCACCTTTTTTTGTGATATTTCTTTTAATGGTATTCTATAAACTCTTTTTAAAAAGTAGTTGTGAAGTAGTAATATTATAAATTATATTTATAATAATTATTATTATAAAAATATTATAAATATTTTTTTTTTTTTTACATAAAATTTTGTGAAAATTACCCATTTGTTTCTATTATTATAGTTAAAAAAAAGTATTTTTCATAAAATTTTGAAGAAGGAGGTCTTAAGACTTCAAAAATAATAAACCACCTAAATGTATATTTTTACAGGTTACTCAATTTGGGAAAACTATTTGTTTATCTGGTTTTATGGGAATTGATATACCTCCACCAAATGGTCCACTGTGGATTTTGGGCGATGTTTTTATTGGACGTTATTACACTGAATTTGATTTAGGAAATAACAGAGTTGGATTTGCTAATTGTAAATAATTAATTTTTATAACAATAACAATTTTAATGGAACTGAATTTAATTATAGGTTGCTCATTTTTATTAATAATCTATCCTAATTGTTTTTTTTATAGATTTAAGTAGTTATAAGTACTTTTAAATAAGCTATTTTATTATAGTAGAACATTGTATTAAATGATAATAAACACGTGTGATATTAAATAATTTTTTATTTTAATATGTTATATTAATAATTATATCCTTTGTGAAAAATGATCACGCAATGGTCTCATTAAAGTAATGTTCTTATACTGTCAATAAATATCATGGCTTGGTGCATTAAAACCTATGTGCAAAAAATAAAATATATATTACTAGATAATAGAGTGTATAATTTGTAATCTAAGGATATCAAAATTTTCAACTTTCTTTTTTTGTACATAGGAAGTTTTTCATGTCAAGTGACGATATACTTTTTTTCAACCTTGAGTAAATAAATAAAATATCTAATATATTATTAAATGAGGCAACTAGAGAAAGAAAACTCAGCACAGTGTGGTCGCGGCAAATTGGGGATGTGGCATAGTTGAGTCCAGTATAGATTTAATCTGACAGTGATTAAAATCACTATCATAATAAACGCTGTAATTCAAATCTGTAGATAGTGTTTAATTTTAAAAAATTGATGGTTTATTCCAAAAGCTACATGATTTCCTTATTTATATCCTGACTACAAGTTTTATGATTTATAAGGGAAATGGTCCGATTTAAAAAAAAAAGTATGTCGAATGAAAGAGGTATATGAATAGTATTTCTCATGACAAATTTTTATGAATCTATACATTTATCAAAATGTTATAGAGTTACAAAGTTAAAAATTTTAAATATAAAATCAAAAATTTCAACACAAAAGTAGCATACGGTAACCATTTTTACCATGAAGGTAAAATATTGTCCGAATTTTTTTCCATAATAAGTGTATTACATTAGCTTTAATTTAAGATATATGTAAAAGTGTCAGTATTTCCGGAACACTTTCACAAATTAAGTTGAAAAAGTTAATTTTTTGTGAAAAAGTTGTCATTTTGAATCCCCCCTATGGACAGGTAAAGGGTTAGATTAAACAAAAATTTACCAAATAATAGGTAAATGTATCTATAAAAAATGTTTATATCGATTTAGTCATTTTTAACAAAGTTATGGCAGTTTTAAGTAAAAAAAAAATTGAAAAAATATTAAAAATTAACGATTTTTAAATTTGTAATTTTTTTGAAGATTTTCCCTATCTACAGGGATCAAGAGAAATTTTTTCAATTTTTTAAGGTTTAATGTCTTCGACTAGATACAATTTGTGATCTTTTGACGTTTAGTTGAAAAAAAACGAGCTGAGAAAAAGTGGTAACAGACACAATAAATATCAAAAACACATCGTAGTAAAATTAATACCAACTCAGCTTCGCATCGAAGCTAAAAAAAGTTATTTATTAAAAAAATTTAAATTAACTGGAAAATAAATTTTTTGTAAGATCTTTAAGGTTTTCTCGAAAGAACCCTATTTAATAACTAACCTAAACAAGTACACCAGGATAAATTTTAACAATTTTATTATCAATTTTTCTATTTGTTTTCTTTCTGTTTTAAATTTTCCATTTAAAGAATAATTTTAATTATATTTTCGTTCATTAGTAATTTCTGTAGTGAAACTTTGTTTTGGTAAATAAAGACGACGGGGTAAAAGATGCACTACTGATAATACTCAATATGTTATCTTAACAATATCAATAATGAGAACTCTGTATGATTCAAATCATTTGAGATTATCAAAGAAAATAATTTATATATTTATTATTTCAACAACATCGTGTATCTTAATTTATAACTGAAATATCTTAACCTAAAGACTAATATGTTAATATAAAGTTTACTATTTATCAAATTAATATTAATTTGTATTGTAATTGGTATAAATTTGGTTGGGTTATTTTTTTATTATTTAAGTTATTTTTATGTACTGTTACACAAAATCATATGTGCATGAAATGAACCCAATTTATTAATGAGGACTTATATAAAACTAATATTAATTATAATAATTATTTCTATTATTGTTGTGACATATTTCAACTCGGAAATATCTTTTAACCAACATTCAAAGTCAAATTTTATTAATCAAGTTAATAATAAATCACAAACTAAACTTAGCATATGGATATCAGTGACAAAAGTTTTTCAAGGGTATTTATTAGTTAAATTCCAGAAGTTTTTCAAATCTTTACTCAGTCAGCGTGGAACATGTTCCAGAGTATTAGAATTAAATATCATTACTGACAATACTAGCCGATCAATTATAGATAATGTGATTTTAGAATATATTCATCAATATCATGAAACCAAGATTATGGTTTGAATTTAACTAGTAATTAGTATTCTTTATTCTATATTAACTATTTATTTTGAAATTTATAGATCAACTACCATGATTTTCAAGATGTCTTAAGAATCGTGCAAAATAAGATAGAACCATTGAAAAGATTTTTTCAGTCCTCTAAAGGTTCTTATTACAGTGATGATGTATTTTATCTTTCACCTGCTCTACATTTAGTTGCTTCTAAATCAGTGGACAAAGCTATTGTTTTAGATATTGATATAGAGTTTAGAACTAGTATTTGTGATTTGTATGATATTTTCAATAAGTAATGTGCATATTTTATATATAATAGAAAAAAGCAACAGAGCGTAATAGTTAAAGTATAACAAAATTTTTGTTTTAGCTTTACTGACTCGGAAATTTTTGGTTTGGGTCCCGAGTTATCTCCTGTTTATCATCATATTCTATGGAAATGGCAATATTTCAAAAGTCAAAAACACAAGTTAAAAAATAAAGTTAACATACAAGGTTTGAACAGTGGAGTCATATTATTGTTTTTGGAACGTATGCGTAACAACAGTAGTATTATTTATAATAGACTGATAAGTCCAGAATGGATCTCTCATGCTGTTCAAAAATATTTTTTCAAAGTATGGTTTATACATTTTTTAACTTATGAAAAGTATTCAATTTTAACCATATATTTTTCAGGGTCATTTGGGTGATCAAGATTGGTATTCACTAGTTAGCTTTGAATATCCAAAATTGATACATCGACTATCATGTGGCTGGAATCGTCAATTATGTACTTGGTGGAAACACCATGGATATGCTGAAACATTTAACTCATTTGCAAATTGCAATGAAAAAATTCATTTATATCATGGAAACTGTGATACTCCTATTCCATCTAATCATTTAAATTAAATGAAATCTTCAACAAAATATTCATTTAAGTTATTTTGTGACACATTTTGTAGCTATTAATTTTTTTATTTAAGGTTTTGGCTTATAAGAAAATTATTTAAAAATATGAATTTTTATAAAATTAATACTTTATTTTTTTTTTAAAAAATTATGTATTATGCAATATTTTGTTTACAAATTGCTTTATTGTAAATTATCTGTTATTGTTTTTTAATTAAAATACCAATTCTAAACTAAAATAAAATTAAGGTCTGTGTTACTTGTAACATAATGACTAATTAATTTTTTACAAATATAGGAAATTTGTATTGAAATATTACACTTCTTGTTGAATTTATCGAATAGATTTTATTGTTATTGCAAAAGCTCAAAAATCTAAAGAATTAAAAAAAACTTATTTGGATGTGTGTCCAGAATTTCGATAAAAAAAAGTAGTTAAGTATATTATTAAAAATGTCTAAAGTAAAATTTAACAAAAATAAACTTGCTCAATTTTTGGTAATCATAATTTCATAAATTACAATTCAAATTGTTATATTTTATATCTTCATTATTACTATATATTTGCTTGTATAAAAATACTCGTCTTATTTTTCTACTACATAAAATGTAGGTTTACTAAGGTATTACTAATATGTTCCAATATATTTAATTGATAGATACAAAGTAATGAAAACTATTTAAATAATTTTGTATGTATTTATTTATTGCAAAATTTTTGTCATTTTATAAATTTTGATACATTAAGGATTTTTGATTTTACATGTTTTTAAATTAATATTATAGTTTAGTATAGAAAAAATTCATAGTATTTATCAAAAAAAAAAAAAAAAATTGCACATTAAATCTTCTTAATGTCATAGACTTATTTTACATCATGAATAATTCTAATAATAATTGAGTTTTGAATATTGCACAATTATTGTTCCAATTACATTGTTTGACATAGATTGTCTTCTAAACAATATCAAATTATTGCTTTTGATACACATGCATCTTAAATGATTATTCTTTCTACAAAATTTTATTTTACTACCATAGCGGTGAAAAATAATTTCACATCATTTTTTTTCAATATACTTAGTTGATACTAATTACAATATTATTACAGTAATAATTCTGCGTAGATATCTAAATTAATACTTTTCAATGAAATACTATATTATGTTTATTATTTACAATAATATTATGAACAGAGAAAGTATATTTACATTATCACTAAATATTTGTAAATCTATCGTGGCTCGCAATGGACAGGTACATCACGTAGATCTTACAAACAAATTAAAGTTATTGGACGGGGTTTACTGATAAAAGTTTTTTTATCCATCATAAATCTCCTATTCTAAATCTAAACAATTAATTATAAAATATAAAAACAATATTCAACAGTACTTATAAAATTTTACAAAGGTACATTTGTAAAATATAAAAGAAAAACTATAATAGTATTTTAAGTACAAAATAATTGCCGCAGTCGGATAAGAATTTACTTGAATAAACTATAACTAAATAGTATAATAAAAACAATACTAGAATCGATTTTATACAGAGTTAAATATTACTCATAGACTATAATACTATGAAACACAATAGTTAAAACAAAAAACAACAAGATTGTGATGTTTTGGTTAAACGGTACGTATATAATGTACACAATGTATACTTTCGATGAGATTAACACGTTTCTAGTTAACGCAAAATTTTAAATTATAATTATAATTATACAGTCGGTAATGTGATGAGCGAACTTACAAGGTAACTTCTACACTTGGAGTAGGAAACTTCAAGGCGTGAACTGCAATTCCGCAGGTTTGCCCAAGACGGGAGAAGTTTTCAGTGCAAAATTATCGTAGCCGGCAAATTCCAATGTGGCGTCTTCGCAGGGTAACTTGCTTGACGAACAGCTGGACGATGAAGTATTAGTTCTTTGGCCACTACTGGCCGAAGACACCGGTGTAATAATATCGGTCTGGGTGACAGCACTGGCTAGAGACGTGGTGGAATGCATTTTGGCGCTAATAGATTCGCTCACTGTAGACACTTTGTCTCTTTTTTTTAGATACTGCAAACAAACAAAGCTAACGTAAGTAAATTTTGAACATACAGTGGGAATAAGAGGAAAGTAATTTGTCTTTACTAAGTCACCAACAAATAGCTGGTGTTTTGGATCACGAGCAACAAGAGCCTAAATGTATTACTAATTACCTATTAATTTGTTGGGATATTTTAACTGCGTTTTTAGCAACTGGCTTTAGTCACGACTCACGACCGCTGTGCTTTTAAAACAAAAACATTATGTGCAGTCGACAGCGAGAGACGGCAAATGGTTATTAGATAATGGAATACTGCGAAAAATGGCAATTATTGTACAACGCCATTTGAAATGGTAATTATTAACATGTTTTTAGGTTTTTCACTGAAAACGACCTTCGCTGTACCTGCTGAAGACGTCATCATAGTTTTGTATTTTTCTATTCGTCGAGCATATTCAAATTATAAGCGTGTAACAATTAAATTTTAATTAGTTTACTACCATCGACCGTAATTCACCCAGTGGCCACCGTAGAAACATAATTATTATCAGGTAACGATGTTTCAGATATATTTGTGTGAAGAAAACATCAAAATGGACAATAAAATAATTCAACGGACGGAAGACTCCTGGAAAATAATAACGCGTTGTACGATCTATTGTCGCCTAACGTAAAAGAAAAAGAACATCACACCCTCAGGCGGTTGGCTTTAAGGCGCAGCAGGTAAACTCGGTGAATATTAACATAGCTGTTTTTCGGTCGAGATTAAATTGCTAAAATACCAAAGGAAATTAACATTGCTCAGAATGATTGCGCTTACCTGTAAAGAAGCCAATTTCTTTTTGAAAAATGAATCTTGTCCGTTACTCTTGATTTTCCTTATTCGCTTTTCTCGGTTCCATATAAACGCCAACGTGATTGATATGAAGATCAGGGCGATGGCCACCAAAACAGTCATAAATATAATAAGAGTTTTGAGACTCTCGAGCTCTTGTAGGGCTTCTAAAATAATATTACGCACAAATTAATATCACACACGATAACAGTGAATTACGTTGATATTTATTGTTATTTGCAATTAGAGTAGCTCACCTTGGACATCCTTTTCCTTGACATAGTGACGCACGTAATCGTGAATATAATCTGAGGGGAAAAAAATGATATTACTTAGTTGTACGGTTTTGATAGAACAACATAAATGTTTGTCGCTGGAATCCAATCGAACCGTTTGCCCCCACCGATTGTGCGACTTTGCACGAGTAAATATTGCTGGTATTGGCTATTAGAAGTGTATATCCTAATTAAAATTTGCGGACTAAACGTTTACACGCAGTTAAAGGGGCCACGCGCTATATATTCTGGAAAGAATTGCGAGTGTCCAGTTTCGCCTTCGTTAGCAAGCACAGGCAACCGACGAACCATTTCAAAACACAACAAAATCGGCGTAGACCACTATGCGTTTTTAGTTACGTCCTGTTGAAAACTTTTTAACAACAACAAAAAAAAAAAAAACCAACATTGTTTGTGTCGAAGAGAATACGACATTTAAATACAATACACAGTGGAGGAAATAGTTTCAAAGTGATTTGCTACAGTGTTTGGTCGAATTCCACGGCAGTTGCCCGGCAACTCGGCTGTTGTCGAATTGAATTTCCACCAACACTTGTGTCCGGCACACATGATTGATTTCCCCACACTACCGAAACGAGCGAAATGTTTACTAATATGCTAAAAGTCTGACGACCGGTTTTACCGAGATAAAAACAATATTTTTTTGTATTTGAAACTAAATCGCTTCTTCGCGCAGCCAAATGACAAACGATTTTTAAGAACACGGACGTTTTGAAATACGAGTTACACGAAACGAATTGTATAAACAAACGTGATAAGAGCTACTTTCTGATACAACTTGCATACACTTTTAAAATTATTATTATTTTTTTTTATCGTCTAATAAATCAATTAATACACGGGAAATTACACGCGATACGCGTTATCCGGCTCGAGTATACGATTTTTACCATTGTTCTCTCAGACCAACGATACCGACTAAATAATCATCAGCCGGATCGTTAAAACGCTATTAAAACAACACTTTTATTGACTATGGATAATGTTACTTGTTTGCGGGATAACCAATAAAATAAAAAAACACTGCCAGTGCGAAATACACCAGTTTCTAGTTCAAAGGATGGAAATCAATTGACCGTCCGTAATTATAAAAAACATGACGTGTTACACACAAAACGAAAACCGTTACATATTTTACAATTCATGTATTATCATTTCATAATTACTATGCTTCCTTTGTGATGGAAGTATCGATACTGTAAAACGGTTGGGTACTCACAAATATTATGAACAACATTCTATATACCACAATACTATTATTGCAACGCGCATAAAACTATCAAGTACAAGTTAAAATGATTTTCACAATTAAATCAAATTAATTCAAAATAAAATAGAAAATGTTTTGAAAAGTTATTAATTTTGAGGCGTTATAGTCTATTAATTATAACATTAGAGACACTACGTTCCAGAACATATGTTTTTTTTTCGTAATTATTATTAAACATTTATGCATAAAAAAAATACATTTATACGATTTTTCATGTGCTAGTGCGAAGACTTGTAAGGGTATCGGGACGATATCTTATATCACTAATGTAACCACCGGACAACAAAAGTGTATTCATGACCACAACCCGTGAAGGGCACAAAAAACGCACGTTCTAAAAAATTCAAATCACGCTTTACCCCCCCCCCCAAACAAGTACCAATGAAACGGAGTATGAAACAACAACAACAGTTATAATATTAAATAATTGAATTAAATTTTGTATTAGAAATATTAAGCGTTTAAGGACGACAACCTCCTAAATAAGAATAAAAATAAAAAAATGCACAGCTTTTGAGAATATTTCTCAGGTCAATTAAAACTGTCGTTGTGTTTTTAGTAAATTGCGCTTGCCCAGTTTCGACGATCTCGTTGTTTTTCGCTCGCCAAAAATATACTACGACTTGTGTAACACTCGTATTGTTTTGTGATGTTTTCGCGTGCCAATGGAATCGACTACTCGTCAAGGACGGGACGGACAAAGAACTTCAACGCTGTCACGTCGAGGCGACCACGTCAAATTGGGCGCACAAGTCGGTAACAAAACAAAAGACAATTGTGTCCAACGGACAGACAGGTCCCCAGAACAGGATAACATTCCACACGAGTGAGCGACCGATGTAGTGCAGCAAATGTACAAGAATTTTATGTCCGTCGGTTGTTTGATATTTATTCGGCACGAATGTTTGTTATTAACACGTGTGTTTGCGCCAAAAACGGTTATCACTGGCGAAAAAAAAAACATTCAATCTTATCGCGCGTACTCGAGAGACCTAAACAACTGGTTTTTTTTTTTTTTTTTTTTTTTTTTGGTA